GAGTGCTACCTTGTGTTTCTGCCTTGATATTTGTAGATATGAAAGCTTATGGAAAATACATGGAGATCGGTAAGGTTGTACCTAAAATTTTAATTAATTGGTTACTATTTTTTTTTCTGGTTACTATTTTTAAAATGGAAAGCATAATCAGATGTTTGATTTGGTTGTCATGAAACCAACTAACTTTCTTTGTTTCAAGCTTTAAATATTGAAAGGCTATGAGAAATTAAATAGTAAAACCATTGCTAATTACTACTATTTTTTTGCGTGCACAATGTTGCAATTCTCAAGGGTATTATTTTGCAACTTCCAATACAGGCACACACAAAAAAGGTGATTTCCCCCCACCCCCAAATATCATCAAAGTACAATCCCATATTACAACCGCTAAAAATGCCTTTTACCCAACAGAAAATAATGATTCCAAAAGACTCAATATAGTTTGCAGGTTAACAAGGAACTACCAACAAATTGGCAGTTATGACACCTGGCAAGTTAAAATGTGGCCAGGTTGGTAGGGCACAGATTATCTAGGGGAGGACAGTATGATTTAAAGTAGGATGTGCCATAACCATCAGGCAGAGTCACATGTTTTAGAGCTTCAAGTTATCAGTTAACTAATGAAAGACACAGCATCTGATGGTTGTGCTCAACAATAGGCTCTAACGTGATGATGACTGTTTCAAGGAGAACATGGTACTCCTCGCCGGCCTCCCTTCCAGCGAAGTCAGTGTATGTATCTGATCTGCAACCTTTTATTGGCAGCCAATCATTGCTGTTGTTATTAGCTGCAGTCAAGTTACTTCCAACCCATGCTGACACCGATACGTCAGAATGAAGCTTTATTTTAATGGACTAGAAAGACTGAAATGAAGAGTTCAATGGAAGCTAACAGGATGAAACTAAGTGACGCTTGCTTCATAAACCTCTCTTACATGTTGATACATATGACTTCTAAAAAGTAAAAAATCTGTTTGTCATTATGATAACCTCATGGAATAGAAAACACACAGGTGTGATGATGGCAACTTATCAATGAATGTGCTTGATACAATTGATGTATGGATTGTTATACAGCTGCAAGAGCCCTCAATAAAGTGATTTATTAAAAAAAAACCAAAGTACACAGGTGGTGTATACACACACACACACACACACACACACACATATACACACCCACAAACATACACACACCCTCTTACACTGGTATGCTTTTTGCATATGTCCAAGAAAAGTAGTAGAATTGATGGCATGTTGTTAAGTTATACTATCTTTCTTTACGATAGGTGCCAGATCAAATGAAGCAGTGTTTCTTATTTCATGAAAGAGAATGACAAAATTAAGCCAAGATGCCCGTGGCTCTGTCCGGTGGGGCATTTTAATTGACTCCTAAGTCATTAATCAGTTCCCAATCAATCTATTTTGCCCATAGCAGGCAGTTAGGACTCCATTACCATCTATTCATCATTCCATATCCTAACTCACTGCACCATTAGCCAGGGATTAGGCCTCCATGAGAATAACTAAGTGCCAAGTGCTAAATGCCAGCTATTGCTGTTGCTCACCTCAGCCACTGGTATGCCTTCTGGTGGCCGACACTGAAGCAGGACTTCCTGTTCCAAGGACACTTCTTTTCCCAGGGGCTCCTGCTCAAATGTCTTGCGTAGATCTGGAAAGGACAGGTGAGATATGCAAAAAGTAAGTAATATTGTGTCATTTGTAAAAGGATATCTGCAATTTTGGATTTTCTGCCCTCCACCTCCTGCCTCATCACATGTTGTTCATATTGTATCATGCTAATATTTTGTGTGGTGGACTATACCAAATTCAGAGGCTGTGGATTAGATTAAACTTTAAACTTCAGTGGAGTGTTTTGGAGGTCTTCATTTTTAAAAATAATAAAAAAAGAAAGACCAAACCCTGTGCTTGAGAATCGAGAGTAGAATTGCACCATGTGGGGTTTTGAGAAGTGGATCACCAGGCCTTTTGAGTGGATTTGAACTACCAATATTTTGGTAAGAAACCAGGTATTTCTTTAAAAAGCTCCTTGTTAGTGAGTACATTTAAACTCCTAGATACCCAATAGGAGAGTGTAGAATGGCCACTGTGGGATTCGGAGGCTTTATGGGAGCAGAAAGTCTCATCTTTGTCATATAGGGTGACTGGTGGGTTTGAACTGATGACCCTGAGTTAGAGTCCAACACGTAACCCACTATGCCACCACAGCTCCTTAGGGAGTCCTTTAGGAACAAATCAATTGGATTTCTTTAGTATTCTTTGATTATCAACTGTGATGATCATATTCTTAGTTAGAAAATTGTATTTTCATTATTTTGTCACATACAATCCTTTGTGCTTATAAGTAGGTTAGTCTTTTTTTCACAAAGACACACATAAAGTTGCAATACTGAAATATTTGATCAATAAATTAAAAGCAAGTTCTGCTTCAGAATTGAGAAGATAACACTGAGCACTGTCGGTGTGAATGAATGACTATAACTTCTTGAAGATTTCTCAAGCACAAGGCAGGGAATATCGGGAAGAAGCCAAAAGATGTCAATATATAATCTTGCATGTAGTCATTCTTCACCTATAAGATTAAATAGCTATTTCTGCTCAAATATATTAAGTACCAAATTATATATGTATATAGTTACAGTTGCTACAGCAATATGTAACCGAGTTTTCAAAATCATTATAAGTAGACCCCAAAAAAGTTAAAAACCAATTTGTCATTTTAACCAAACTTTGTAAAATAAATCATTTTGTCATAGAGTTTGGAAGTAGTATATCTATATATATATCTATATATATATTTCAAGTGTACATTATTTTATGCATACAGTTCAACTTACTCTGATAGTTTAATTATAAAATTTTATCAGCTGGATTATAATAAACAAATTAATACTTGATACTTTGATTTTTCATCGCTATTCAAAATTTAAGAATCTGAAAGTACAATTTCAGTTTATTGAATTAAGGGCTATAAACCCAATGATTCTCGGGGTATATCTCCAATTCCTTCCAAAGACCTACCAGAACACTCCATCTGGTAAAACACATTGAGAAAAAAGTCCATTGCTACACATTTGCTATTTTGTTGAGTTTATTGTTAGAACATGTGACGATCACAGGGGCTGTGGGGGAAATGGTGGGTTTATCTAGACCTGAGGGACAATAAAGGACTGTCCAAATAGCTCCGGTGGTGTCGTGGGTTACCGGTTGGACTGCTAACTGCAAGATCAATAGTTAGAAACCGCCAGCCACTCCAGGGGAGAAAGATGAGGTTTTCTATTCCTGTAAAGAGGAACACTCTTGGAAACCCACAGGGGCACGGCTACCCTGTCCAAGAGTCACTCTGAGTTGGAATTGACTTGTTGGCACTGTGTTTATTTGGAATTTGAAACACCGGCAAGGCATCTATCAGAAGGTCATTTCTGATTTGGTTACTGGTGGAAATAAACTTTTCAGACACTCCCATGATTAAAACTTGAACATGATCAAGGCTATGCTCTCATGCTACACAGGAGGAATGTGTCTACCAAACAAACGATCAGAGGCCCCCAGCCAAAGAGCCAACGCCGTTTTCTTTCCCTAGCAGCACCCTGACGCGTGATCGGACACGGACTTTGCCTCGCCATAGTTCTAACATCTCCTTTGGTCAGCAGGTGACCTTCCAAGAGAAGGATTCAAATCTTTTCTACAAAAATGTCCATCTCTTTTTGTTCATCCTTATTGAAGTACTAGACCCAAATGCCAAACGTTAACTAAAAACAAAAGCAGCAAGAAGTTTTTAAGGGATAAAATGATATTGACAAAGTAAATTCTTGTTTGTGAAAAAAGATTCTGTATAACTTTCATCTGATGTAGACTAGAACATGAAGATGTGATGACTGGGATTAGTACTCAAATAAAGTATTGACTCACTATAACTCCCATAAATCAGCATAGCATAAAATGTGGGTTGAGAATAAGAAAAATGAGTCATACAAGTGTCAAAATAGTCCAAGCAATCTCATCTAATGTTCAATAGCTACTCCGTTCTATTTTGTTCACACATGGGCTCCCCATGAGTAGGAATTAACATGTTCACAATAGGGAGTGGGGTTTGCCTTCTTGGATTCCTTAAAGTGGAAACGTTGTTAGGGCTATAGACGAAGGTAGAGAGTCATAGAAATCAGACTACAATGATGAACCGGAGTCTGGATATGAAAACCACCCGGCCAGGGGAAAGAATGACAAATGCTTAAAGGCTTCTCAGTAAAAGAGGGGCATCAAATGTTAAATATGACCATAAGTATGACAAATGTTTTGAGATAGGGTGAAGGCTTTCCAGAACCCAACTGAATAGGCTAGGAGGGGTGATCAAGTTCTGAACTCAGCCCGTGATAGTGGACAGGAAGAAGAGAAGACAGATTCTAATAGGCAATGGCAATACTGTAAGAGTAGGTCCTGCAATTGTTAGGTTGGTACCCAAATTGAATGAAAAAGTACCAAATTGGAGAGAGAAATGAAAAGAAAGATAATACATTTATTTTGGTATGTGTTCAGTTCAGTCTGTCTACAAGATATTCAAATGAAAATGTTCAGTAAACCCCTATCATAGCTTATTAACTTCAACACTATTGGCATTGGGGCTGACTACTTTTGTGAAGTTAGTGGGTGGTGGTGGTGGGGTGTGTGTGTGTGGGGGGGCACTATCCTGAATATAGGAAGAATTCAGCAGCATCTCTTGACTACAAGAAACCATAAGCATCCCTACCACTCATGACAAACACATACACAAGTCCCTGGAGAAATTGTCAAAAAATACATTTATTTTAGAACTACTAGTCTAGAACTAGAAGAGCCCTACTGGTGTAGGACTGTTAATCCCAAGGTCAGCAGTTCTAACCCATCAGCTACTCTGTGGGAGAACGGCAAGGTTCTCTACTCCCATAAAGAGTTACAGTCTCAGAAACCCACAGGCAGTTTTACCTTGTCCTATATTGTTGCTATGAGTTGGCATCGATGCAATGGCTTTGGCTTTGTTTATGGGGCAGCTTTGAATTGGAATCATCTCAGTGGCCATGGATTTTTGTTGTTGTTGTTGTTTTAAGGTACCATATAGAATCAATAGAGGGCTTTATGAAGAAATACCAGCATGCAGGCTTTCTACTTTGTGAAGTAGATAGAATCAGAGACTCAGATCGAGTAAAAGATAGAGCTAGAGATAGAGAGATTCTTTGAGCCATGTCGTCCCTGGGCTTTCTACTCATGTAAACTGTTCCAGTCTCGGAAAAACACAGGGGATCGTTATGAGTCGATTGACTCAATGACAGTGAATTTGGTTTGGAAGGGTGTAGTAGGTATGAGAGGGGTTGCTAATAGCAAGGTCCAGAGTTTGAAACCACCCGCACAACAGTGACGATACGAAAGGCACATGCGTCAACAGACAGGTCAAATGGCAAATCATCACTGAACACCAGATAATTACTTTACCTTAATAGTTTGGCGGTAAACGCTATATAAGGGGGTATTACCCCCTCCAAAAAAGCCTTTACCCTCCATTACACTTAATACATTTGTCGAATCTGCGATTCCATTCTTGGAAACATTTTTCAAACTCATGTTTGGATGGCTGCCAGAACCTCCCTTGTTTTTTCCTTCATCTCTTCTACGTTGTCAAATCAGTCTTTTTTACAGCTCTCTTCATTCATGGAAACAAAAAGAACCCCTACAGAACGAGGTCGGTGAGTCAGGTGCGTGGAGCAGGAGAGGCATGATTTTTTTGCCAAAAACTGGAACACTGAGATGGCTGTGTGAGCAGGAGCATGGTCATGGTGGCAAAACCAGTCCCCCATCTGCCACAAATCGACCTTTTTTGTTATACACTGTTGCACAATCTTTTCAGAACCTCTAAGTAGAAAGCTTGTGTAACAGTCTGACCTACATTTAGAACAAACTCCAAATGCACTATGAGTTGACATTTTCATCCAATCGGGAAGTTGATGGACATCCAGAATGAGATTTGTCATCAATTGATATTTCACCTTTTTGAAATGAGGAAAACCTCTTGTATACTTCAGTTTTCCCCATAACGCTACCCTTGTAAGTTGTGTGCAACATCACAAGAGATTCTTCGGCATATTTCCTGAGGAGGAAACAAAATTTAACAGCCACATGCTCTTTTCTTAAATTGGCCATCACAAAAAATGAGGTTCAAGAGAAACTGCTTTTATTTAAAAATTCACTGTGACCAGAGAGAACCTTCCCAGGTGACACCACTGAGTGCACTAACTCAGAGTGAGTTGCTTGATGCTCTCCTACTGGGGAAAATGCATACTACAAAAGCTCCACCTAGCAGAGTTTTTCCGGATTTATTTGGGTACCCCCTTATATAAACTTTACCTAATTTCTATAAGAATCTTACATTTAACTTCCTTTACTGTAATTCTTCTTCCTGAAAAATGCTTTCAATTTCTGCAATTGCTTTTCTAGCTTTCAGATAGTATCATGAGCATAGAATATACTGCGGTTACGCAGTCCAGCAGCTGCTCAGTGCAGCAGGCCTCCACACGACTCTGCAAATGCAGGGTGAGACTGCAGAACATTTTGAGCTTATCCTTTATCATTTGGAGAGATGTGATAGAAGGCAGCTCAGATGCCTTGCAGGCAGAGAGAGAA